TCCTTAAATGTGATTGTTTATCTGGCTTTATGGTCTGACTGTTCGGCTGCATTTTTTTATTGACTTCTCTCAGTAGGGTGTCAAATTTAAGCACCTCATAATTCAAGTATGCTACAAGTCAAAGGAGAAGCCAAGTTTACTTCGATTAATACCGCCATTGGTCAAATAACGAGGACGGCACATGGGAGTATTATAGAGGGTTTCCGGATTTTGTAGTTTTTTTTGTAATTATTACATACGTGTTGCTAAAATGAGTTCAAATATCCCCTCAAGGCAAAATTGTAAACATTTCCAAATTGCGTAATATGCTCACTCGAGGAAAACCTGCCAAGAAAACAGTCACGGCGCGATGACGTTTACTGCTGTTGCTAGGCAGAATCCCAGGGTAGTCAACTTCCCCAAAATTGATAACATTTGCAATTTGCAGATGCTAACTATGCTGTTACTTTCGCAAAAAAATAAATAAAATAAAGGGGCGGACATAAAAGTTGCATGTTACCAGTTAATAGTTTAATGTGTCTATTTTTAAAATATCTCAAAAGTGATGTTCCATGCACGTTTGGCACCGATAATGCCTTCGTTGGACAAAAGGATAGGCAGGATGCATGTGTAACGAAGAACAGCAGACTACCTTTAGAAGCAACTCGACTGCGAAATAAGCTTTGTACAAAGTGGACTTTACCAAATGCTGAATGCCAGGATGAGCAGAGGAAAACCACTAAGGCACAGACTAAAAACAAAGAAGTGTTTCTTTGAGTCGACTCAACAAAAGTACACGGTCCTCAAGTTGCCATCTCTTCCCCGATACTAAAATGCTGACAGACAAGGGAGCGATCAATGTACTACTAAGGTCAGATGTGACTTATCCACCCTGCCGAAAGTCGAGAAAGCCATTCAGCAGATGTCAAATAAAATAAAAGCTCCGGGAGCTGATACAATCCCAGCGAAAGTCTGCAAGCGCACCAGGCCACAACTGCGCATCAAGATGACTCAAATTGTTCCAAACCATTTGAGCGCTTCTTCAAAATTGTCTGCAGCGGACAAGTTGGCATGCAGAGGGAGTTTACCCTTGTCTCGGTGTGAGCACATTGATGAAGCGGTAAATAACAAAATTGCCAAGGCCAGCTCTGCCTTCGGGTCGGCTGCGATTATCGGTGCGATCAACGCAGGGGCACCAGCCTCTTGACGAAGCTCAAAACTCTACAGAGTCATCAGACTCACAACTCCATGTGAGTCCTGGACTCGATACCGAAGGCACACCAAGAAGCTCAACCACTTCGGTCTCAACTGCGTCCGCAAGTTGCACAGAGTCAAATGGCAGGACCAAGTCCCCGATCCAGAGATTCTTGACCAGACTGGCACAAGGATGTCGATGATCTCCTGGCCGCAGCATCCAAATGAAGTGCTTCAGGATACCCTGAAAACCTGTCTTTAGCACCTCAGCATTGTCCAGAACTCATGAAAGACCCTCCCCAGGGTTGCCCAACATGGTGAGGGGCAATCGGAACAACCCAAGTCTCCTGTCATTGACGAGCCTCATTCACAAGCTGCCGCCGAACTGTCTTGAGCCCCCCTCGCCCCCCCCTCTCTGAGACCACTCAGGGCACGGCTAGGCCTTGTCAGCCGTTTGCACAACCCCACCACGCCCCACAGACGGACGGATACTGTATAAAGACGGTCCTCTTTTCTTCGGAAGGACGAACAGCAATAACACGAATAACATGAAATGCATTTCGAGCAAATAAACACAGCCGTACCACATTCCGGAACTCAAGTGCGTTTTGCTTCTTTTAATGCCAAAAACAACAAAATACATTCATGTTCAATTGAAAAACAAACAAAAACAAACAATTCACAATATGCCATGTACAGTTACAAAGCAAATGACAGACAATTGAAATGGAGCTTCTTTTTTTTTTTTTTCCTGCTGAATAAAAACAATGTAGCACGTTGATGCTTAATCTTGCACCGGTAAAAATTCTGTTTGTTAATACTTCAGTGATGGTTTACATTCAATATCACACGCACAAGCACGCAAGGACGTGTTAACAAGGACACTTTGACCTGAAACATAAAACGATCTTTTATCTTTATCTAATGTCTTTTTCCCCCCGCCCTCACAGAATTAAAAACTGTCAGTATGACGCAGTGCAAAACCCACAATATTAATAAACGTACCGTTCAAAGATTTATATTTTTGTAAAGGCTGAATTATCTAGTCTTGGATTTCATTACAATGTTGCAGGTGTACCAACTGGAGTGGCCCGTGAGGCACCAAAAAACAGAAAACTGGAAACACAGAAGAAAAGGGTCGCAGCCAAATCTCTTAAAATCAAGTCAGTTGCATGTAAACTGATCTGAGCGCTGCCGGTTGACTGCACAATCACAGTGTGTGTTTGTGTGTGCGTTTGTGTGTGTCCACCTTTGAGGTAAACATGCATGATGACATCATCAAATTCCTCCTGTCTCTACTAGAAATTAAAAAAAAAAAAGTGGTCAATAAATGGCATGCTGCCTGTCGGCGTTCACAGTGACCCCAAGCATTGCGGAAATCTAACCTATGAGCCCTGCCAGTGTCGCTAGGACAGCAATATCTTTCTCTGGTTTCTGTGCGAAAGATAACAAGCGTCAGTCAGATCTTTGACGAGATTTCTGCTTGAAAGTGGCAACAGTAAATGTCTGATTTGTGCGTTTCTAGACTGAATGTCGCTACATGCTAAGAATGTTCATGAAGGGTGAAAAGGATCTACTGGACTGAGTCACTAGTATGTTCTCGGAGCTACAGAATGAATGTGGTTACTGTATGACACTGAAAAGAAAATGGTGTTTTTATTTCGTCGAGTGGTTGCATGACATAAAATCATCTGGTTCCAGCTACAGTACTTAAAAAAAAAAAAAAATGAAATCCAGATGATTGTATTGTGTGCAGTCACAAAATAAAATGGAGTCATTTCAACATGCCATTTCTTTTCTGTGTAGCTAGCAAGCTAGCTAGCTAGCTAAACATGTGCCTGCTACATTTGTTCCCGCTAAATTGGCAAATTAGGACCATTATGGAGGCAGCCCCATGTTGGAGTCTACTTGAAGGCTAAAAAGACGGCATATGAGCATCACATAAGATCATACTGTGTATTACTGGAAAGGGAAAACCGGGTGGAACAAATAAGTGGCCTCGCAACATAAAATAACAATTGCCACAAACGACACTGCGGAGTGGCCACAGACTCAGTCTATGGTCTAATTTTCACTCAGTCTCAGCATAAATTAAGAACATGTTTAATAACGTGACATAACGCCATGTCTCTGCATTCATCTGACTCTTTTTGTGCTGCTGTTTTGGTTAGCAACAGAGTTCAAACAGGCTAAGTATTTAACCGTGTTTTTATTTGCGGAAGGCGTTTATGTGAAGCGATGATGCACCAGACGCTACTATTTGAGGAAACACGGTGGTTTAAAGAAAATACTTGCAATCGAAATGAAAGCATCGGGAGGATGTGATTTGTCTCGCTCTGCTACAGTAAAGCCGATTGAGGACAAAGCCTGAAGGAAAAATGAGCTTGGAGCCTCATGAATCACCGGGCGACATGTAGCGAGACTTGAAGAAGAAAAAAGAGGTCCAACTTTATGAAGGAGTGTAACCTCATCGAAGTCCAACTGCACGGATCTCTGCAGTATAAATTACAAGTAAACATGTGGAGCTAACTTGCGCTGCAAAATAAATAAAACGGCGGACAGCCTCGAAGGCGTTGTGAGGGTTTACACAGCAAACAACGGCACATTTGCCTTCGGTTGCAAGTTAAGACACAGCAGATATTTGACTCCCACTCCTGCTTTGACGCGTCTTCCGTTAAATTCGCAGTGACGTGTGGAAAAAAATGCCAGCGAGCTGTCTTAGGAACAGTTTCTGCCTTCGGTTTTGACTTGAGTGAGAGGCCGCCTTTAGAAACAACAAGCGCCGGATAGTTTGACAACAAAATAAGATCCTTGAGGGCTTTCTGAGAGTCTACAACTGGAGTGTGGTGCTAAATATTTCTACAAATGCCTTCAGTTGTGACTCATTCCTAGCAAAAACTCGATTCCGAGGCCTGTCAGAGCCTTTCATGATCATTAGCATACTTGGCGACTGTCGTTCTTCTTTAACATGACCTCTGCTTAACTCATCGCCAACTAATGGAAAGTTTTGTCTAAAAAATGATGTCCATGTCTTGCATCTGAAGATAACAGAGCATCTGCCTTCGGTTGTGGCTCACTCGGCCCAGACACTTAGTTCTGCGCGGCAACCATGGCCAGGATTTTCCACCTATTTTAAAACAATTGAAGGAAATGGTATTTTCTGGACTGCTGCTTTACTTCCATTGCAAAATTTAAAAACAAATTTTAAATAAAATACTATGATCTAACCTCAAAGGCTTTGTGAGGTTTTATACCAGTGCCAACGTCTTCTATGCCTTCCTTCAGTTGGGGTTCAGTCAGAGTGGACACTCGATTCTGACCAGACTGCGTGTTCCTCGGCCAGGAATCGGTTACATTTGCAGTCAGTGTCTGCAAAAGCAGCTAACTGGTGACTGGGCAGTTTCTTCCTTGAGTTTTATCCTTCTAATAAAACAATGAACTATTGCATGACCAGCGCTGCTAAATAAAACATTAAAAAAGTGCTAACACCCTCAAAAGATGAGGAGGGTTTGGAGTGGCAACATCTTCTGCCTCTGCCTTCATTTGTGGCTCATTCAGAGCAAACGCTCGATTCTGAACCCGTCAGACCATACCTACCGTGACCAAGAAGAAGTGACAATTGAAGTCTTTGCTAGACTGCTTTGTGACTTGCACTGGAAAAAAAAAAAACAGCTAACATCCTTGAATGCTTCGTGACAGTTTGGAGTACCGATATCTTTGCCTTTGGTTGTTGCCAAGGGGGAGCGAAGTCTCGATTCTGAGGCCACCAGAATGGACCTGCAGTGACCACAACAGTTTTTTCCTTCGGATTAGTCCTGGTATTAAAAAAAAAAAAAAAAAGTCTTGGCTGGACTGCTGCATGTCGTCAATGACAAGAAGCGCCCGCTATCCGTCACCTACTCGCCAAACAAGCAAAAACCCAATGGATGACTCTTGGAATAAGCGCTTTCGAGCGTCACGACAGCTGCCAGGGTGGGTTGAAGAACTTGATGGCGTGGTTTTTGGCCCACTTGGCGAACACAGTCTTCTCCGTGATGAAGCGGTGCCCTCCGTAGGGGGCGCTCTCGTGCAGCAGGTACTCCGCGCACTCATCCCGGTTTCCGGCCTCGTAATAGTGGTAGGGGACTTTGCGGTAGCCTTCGGTCCTGCGGACGGGAGAAAGAAGCTCCATTTTGTTTTTGGCCACTGCATTGTTTTGAAGAGGAAAGCGCAGAAAACTAAAACCGGGCTGAGTCGAGCTGTGTTGGTAGCAAAGAGTGAAAAGAGGCGGAGTCTCACCTGCAATAGGTGTCGTTGATCATGCCGTAGACGTGAATCTCTTTGCACGTGTCCATGGCGAGGATGAGCGTGAACCAGCCTGTGCTGAGGTACGACCCCGACTGGATCCTGTAAACACAAACCAAACACACGCACAAATCATCAGCAGCGCCGTAAGGCCGCCAACCTTTATTTGTTTTGTATTTTTTATTTGGACCCCCCCTACAAGGACGACACGGCGCTGCTTTTCATTTTTAATGATGCGAATGAGCAATGCCGCCCGCATCGGCTCGCTCAAGCGTTTCTTCAGTTCCACTGCAGGGCGATAAGAAGCCACATGAATTGCTGCCGCTGCTGCTGCTGCTTATTTTTATTGCTTTGTTGTACAAAGGCCACTAACGAGCTACTTATGATGCCTCAAGAATTTGAAATTGGTGCTGAAACAGGGGAGAATTTAGTTTGTTTTTCAATCAGTATATATATTTTTACAGGAAACCGAAAAGCTGTCATGATGACTGTTCATTTGCGTTGTTGTGACATGATAAGTTTGTTGCGAGATCATTTTGGACCTTGGAACGTGAATGTTTGGTGTGGGGCGTGATGTGAATGTGGTCTGAGTTTTATAAGAGTGGAGTTTGGTGAAATTTCTGAGCAAAAACAGAAAACTGCTTTTTTTTTTGTCATTATGTCTAGTAGCTTGAGTGCTGTAAAACAGTGAAATGTTTGTGGCTGTAATTCATATTTTTAGGCATTCGATTAAGGGACCCAAAAGAAAACATTATTTTGGTCATTGTATATTTTTAAAAAATAATAAAGTTATTCAGATATTCAGAAATTTATTCTACCAAAATATCAGAATCAACATCGGCATGAAAAATAAAGAAATAAAAATCGATATCTGCCGGGGGGGCTAATTACATCATCACAAGTGGTCATTTTGACAAAATAATGACTGCTATTATCAGGACCTTGAATTTGAAGTATGACTAATTATGTTTTGTCGCGCAATGATTTTGGTCTCTGTTACTGATGGACTCTTCAGTGTCCCATTGAAGCGATCGGTGCCATTTTCTGCTTTTGTTCATTACGTAAGCATATGAGGTCATATTGACAAAACATATATCCGAAAGCGCATATCATGACCTTTCATTTGAGGTATGAAATGATGTGATTTGTTGAACAATTTTTTTTTTTTTTTTTTTAACCTATGGGTATTGGTGACATTTAATGTTTGGGGTTATTATGTAATCACGCGAGGTCATATTGTCAAAATAATTACATATCTGAAATGACATCACCATGACCTTTAACGCGAGGTATCACTTAATGCAGTTTGTCCCCAAATATATTTTTTTTCTAACGTGTTTACTGGTGACCTTTAACCTCGGGTGATTTCCTGAAGGTCAAGGTGGATCACCAACCAATCAAAGTGTTGAGGTGCTCATTTGTGACATTCAAAGTGTGAAAAATCAAAATGGCTCAGAAACATAACACCATGCACAGTACACGATGTAAAGCATAACACAGCAGCCCACACACACACACACACACACACACACACACACACACACACACACACACACACACACACACAGACAAAATGTCACCTCCGACGCAGGCTTTCAGCAGCCATTCCCCCCTCCCCTACCATCACATTGCGAAGCAGTTTCGTTGACAAACCAGAACAGAACATTCCCACTGGTGTTATATCATGAACGTCTGGATGTTCTGTTCCTGAAGGACAAAAAGACACTCCAAAAGTTTCAAAATGGAGGTCTCATCACAAAGCGGCAGATGCTGCACACTGGCTGACGTGCCCAATATCCTTTTAATCTCACTTTATTAACGCTGATGTCACGCCTGTGTGATCGAGTTTCATAATCGGCTGCGAGCGTCTTGTCGGCGTTCAGTCGCGTGGAAAAATTGGCCTTTGAAACGAAAAAAAAAAAAATCTGTGTAACAGCTCAGCTGTGTTGCACTCAGAGATGGTTTTCATTATTTTGGAGAGGAGACGTGTATCGTAGACGCTATCAAATTAACAAAAGACATGTTCTTCACTTGATCGTTACGATCTGCCGGGACCAGGCTACTTATTGCACAACAATTTCTTTCTACTTCCAGTTTATTGTCGTATTCATTTAAAAAGTACAATGGACTGTACATTCCAATGAAATGACACACACACACGCGCTGAATAAGTGCTCCTGCGGCCTTTGTGATTATTCTCCTTCCAAAAGTGTTTTTATCCATCCATCCATTTTCTGAACCGCTTTATCCTCACAAGGTTCGCGGGGGTGCTGGAGCCTATCCCAGCTGTCTTCAGGAAGTAGGCGGGGAACACCCTGAACCGGTTTCCAGCCCATCGCAGGGCACACAGAGACAAACAACCATCGGCGCTCACACTCACATCTAGGGACAATTTGGAGTGTTCCATTTAACCTCCCACGCATGTTTTTGTAATGAGGGAGGAAACCGGAATACCCGGAGAAAACCCACGCGGGCACAGAGAGAACATGCAAACTCCACACAGGAAGGCCGGAGCCGGGATTGAACCCACGACCTCTGCACTGTGAGGTCAACCCGCTAATCACTTGCCCACCTGGCCACCAGTATTTTTATTGTTTTTTTGTTTTTTTTTTGCTTAACAATACATCGAAAAAATGTCATCGCGTGCAATATGCATAACACAAAAATGTGCAATGAGTTTCATATGGCATTGTATGCTTTTATCTGACTGACTGACCGGTCAGAAACTTAAAATGTGAAAAGCCCTGGCTAATATATAAATAGTGCTTTAGCGTCATCTTGTGGCATCTGTCTCTCTGTGTGTGTGTGTGTGTGTGTGTGTGTGTGTGTGTGTGTGTGTGTGTGTGTGTGTGTGTGTGTCAAGCAAGGGAGGAACATGCAAACTCCACATGAAAACTCCACACAGGTAAACTTCCACCAAGATTCCATCCAACCGCGCAGGTCAGAAGCGAGAAGCAGATGTTCTAACCACTTGTCCACCGTGCAGTCCCCTGCACAATCCGCTGAAAAAATATTTTAATGACGAACAAAAGCTGGCTAACACGTCGAATGCGCCACCATAAACTCGTAGATGGCATCTTGGCGTCAAATGAATACTCTGGCGGAAAAGCGGGCGTGACAGCATGATTTAAGCGAGGTCGCTTATCTGCCGCCGTTGACCGAGAGCATCCGGCAGGAAGCCACTGCTCAGCTCGGCGGGTGGCGCCGATAAACCTTGTGTGTGCTGTTTGCAGATTATGGCTGACGGATAACACCCGCGATAGGTTTTGGGTGAAAATAAAGTGGAATAGGAGGTCTCCTCAACCAGTAGAGGGTGCCATTAGTTAACCGCACAGTCGCAGCTGACAATGAGGCACTCTAAAGTGGCCATGCCAGGGGAATGAAGGGAAGGCGCTTTTTCGGGATGCCGCCAGATTACCACTGATGCGAATGAATGTACTCAAGGTCTTCTGTAGAGCGAGAAGGGCAACTAATCCCAGGGTCCCATTTGAGTTTATCAGGAAACCGGAAATGATGAAAAACTGCTTGACGTTATTATCTTCCCACAACTGAATACGAGAGAGTTCTCAGTCTTTGCACAATTTTCGTTGGCTTTCGAAACAACAGGGTAGGAAACTTAAACTTCCCAGCCAAGTGCCACCACATCACAGAAGTCGTCTCTTACATACGGCGCCCGGTCACGCCTCTGTTACGCTCCGATAATCCGCTCAGAAGGCAGGAAAGTGACGGTGGACTTTTCGCCTGCGCCCGATCGCCATCTCACGAGGCACCTCGTAAACGTCTCTTTTTAGAAAATGGCCTCCGGCGAAGTGTAAGTTAACTTTGATGAGGACCCGTGAGGCCACTTGAAGAAAAAAAAAAAAGTAAAAATCACCCGCTGCTCCATCCACTCAGTCGGCACAGCACGAATTATCCTCTCGCTGCGTGTTCTGGCAACATTTCCTACATTACGCTAATAGTAAGCACAGGGAAAAACAGACTTTGCTTGTTTTTTTTTTTTTTTTTTTTTTTTTTTTAGTACTTCCTAGAGTTGTTGCTCAATGATTTTTGACATTACTAGTGACTTTTCTTTGAGGGGTGAAAAATATGGATGTGCATGTTCTCCCCGTGCCTGCGTGGGTTTTCTCCGGGTACTCCGGTTTCCTCCCACATTCTAAAAACATGCATGGCAGGCCGATTGAACACTCTAAAATTGTCCCTCGGTGTCAGTATGAGCGCGGATGGTTGTTCGTCTATGTGTGCCCTGCAATTGGCTGGCGACCAGTTCAGGGTGTACCCCGCCTACCGCCCGAAGGCTGCTGGGAGAGGCTCCAACACGCCACCGACCCTCGTGAGGATAAAGCGGTTCAGAAAATGGATGCAATTTGGTGACATTTTCGCCTTATAGGGTCATACTGATCAAATTGCACATCATAAAAGCTTTAATTTGAAATCTATGGTTTGCGCATAATGACTTCCGGCCTCGATACCGTTGTGCTTGATCGCCATTTATAATAATAATAATAATAATAATAATAATAATAATACATTTTATTTGGACTCACCTGTCCTTGCCCGTCTCCTTCTTGAAGACCATGTCGCAGTAGTTCATCCTGTCATCGGTGGTGGCGTAGATGCGCGCGTGCGGGTAGCTGTCGGCCGCCTGCCGCAACATGTTGTAGACCACTCCCTTGCCGTCGCTGCGCATGTTGCGCAGCGGGCCCCACACCACGTACACCGTGTCGTTGTTTTGGCCAAAGAAGTGCTGCGGCCTCTGCAGCAGCAGCGGCACGCTGGTGTGCGACACCACCCGCAGCGTGGTGCGCCGACCCACGTCGCGCTCGAACCCCCGCGTGGGAGCGTTGTTCATGCGCCAGATGCACGGCGAGCGGTCGATGAGCGCCCCCGCCGCCTGGCCAAGCATCTGGCCCGAACTGGATACCACGCTGCAAAGCTCGCACTTCACCTTCAGGGGCTGCCGTGGTCAACGGGGCAAAAGAAGCAGGACAAGATTAGCGTCTCACGCATTTCTTTTTTTGCCACTGACTTTTTGTGAACAAAGGACTTTGATTTGGCTCTTCGGTTCAAATTTCAGTCCATCGGTTTTTTTGCTTTTATTTTGGTAGGTTTCTATTTCCTGTTTTTGCTCGGTTAATAGGAACAGAGGGGGTTGCGACCAACTTTTTGTTAACAAAGGACACGTCAATCTGTGGTGTTGCTGGTTTTCTTTCGGTCAATTTCTATTGCTTTTTCATCACTTTAACCAAGGGCTGATTTTTAACGAACTGTTTGTGAGCGTATTGCTTTAATTTGAGTCCAACTGTTCAGCAGTTGAGAAGTTGAGTCAGCTCAAAATTTCAAGGCAACAAACTTCACCACAACTTGAAGTTAGGGGGCAATTCAACAAAATATTTTAACTTTGGCTAATGTGAAAACTGGCCTTCCTCCATTTTCAACAAAGAAATAAGTTTATAGAACTAAGTGTCCCTTGTGTTATCCACCAACTTCAAGACAAAAATAAAAACTACTCAGCAAATTATTATGGAGCAAACATCTTACTTGCTTTGTTGTGCTAACTAACATTGTTGCCACAATGTCAGTCATCTATCTACATGTTTATTATTTTATTTTATGTTAACTGTTTCGTAAAGTGCTTTGTTTGCAGCGGTTGTGAAAGCACTATATAAATCAGGATGCATTGTCTTGTATTGTCTGTTAAAGTTGTTCCAACTTAAATGACTGTGTTAGCCCGCCAAAATACAAGCTGTGTGTTTTTACAGCGTAGGCATCTCCTTCCTGTTTTATTCCTTTTGATAGGACACTTATCAGATTTGGTAATACAATTTTTTGTCAACAAAGCACTTGATTTGGATCTTCAGTGACTTGTACCTGTGCCGAGACGATGTCAACTGCTATGTTAGCTTCTTAAGCTATCCGCCATACAGTTTGCTTGTCTAGTTTTTACCATTTTTTTTTTCTTTATAGTTGTGTAAAAGGTAATGAGTAACTTCCTGTTCCCTCTGCGGGTTGGGAGAGTAGTTTTATTAGGCAGTGGTTAACATCTCTTTTTACGTCAGATGGTAACGAATGTTTAAATGCGACTTCAGACATTGTCCGGACCACTTTGTAAGGTAACACCGCACTCAACGTAATCATACCGACGCTACACTTTTACTCCCTTTTAATATGAGTGCAATGACAATATTATAGGGATGTTTTTGGCCAAGGAGGCGTATGAAGGAGCCCATCAAATATATGGATGCGATCATAACTTATCTGGGTTTTAAGAGCGGCGTATAATATCCCCGTCAGCGAGTACGTTAATTGGATGGGCCCCGGGAGGTTACGACGCAGAACCGAGAGGTGCGGAAGCGTCGTCGTTAAGTGGCTGTAGAACATTATAGCTACGAATCGGTTACACTTTCAGATGCCTGCGAGGAGCCCTCAAGCCATGGATCTTTACACTTTATAGTCCCCCAAATAAAAACGGGCCTGAACGTTCATCGCTCTACCATCAGGGATTACAAATCTTGATTTACATGACAATTATTCATCCAGTTCTCCGAGATTGAAGTACTGTAGTCATTCATTTTTAGGCTTTTTCTTTCTTCATCATTAAATAATTTGTTATATTGAATAATACATTGCTATATTGAATAATAAAAAAAACGCCTAAGTATAAGCAATTTTACAAATTAGCTTCTTTTTTTTTAAAGAGCTGGTTAAATATAATTCAATGAACTATAAATAATATAATTGACCATTCACAAATGATTTAAGTAACAACTGGTGGCAGTAATGTGCCATTAAGATGGGCTGCCAATCACCAGTACCACCACAGAAAAAGAAAGGTACAGTATCACATAAATTTTTTCCTTTAACGTTATCTGCAGATGACCTGGCCCATTTGTCCATTTCAAAAATAAAATGTGACCCTTGAGCACGATTGTTTGCTCATCCCTATTGTAAATAAAATCAAACATTAGCATCTACCGCAGGCATATTTTGTAATCCTGCCACATCCGTTAAAAAGCGGAGAGTGGGCATTTGGGGAAAATGCAACGTTAATTTTGCTCAATCGCCTTTGTGCCGTGAACTTCACATCGCAGTTGATTAAAATGTGCAAGGCGGCCTTCATTAATAGGCCGTGATTATTACATTAGCGCAATCGTTCCTGGCGGACGCGTCCGCCTACGCTGAGTCATTTTCCCCTGAAAGACGTTCTTGTGCTTGTCTGTTGACGGGTGAACAACGTCCTCCAAATTGCCAATAATTTGCGCTGAATGAAAGTCCTTTGATTGAAAACCCAGGAAATACAAACCTACCAAAATAAAAGCAGTAATAGCACAAACACTTGGTCGGAGAAGATGCAAATAAAAGTGCTTTGTTCACAAAAAGTTGCCCGATACAGGCAATGATGCGAGTCCTATCAAGAAAACAAAAACAGGAAATAGAAACCTAACAAAATAAAATTGGTAACAGCACAAATAGATGAAGTCTCTGAACCCAAAACTCAACTCAACTGTATTTATAGAGCACTTTAAAAACAAACACCGCTATAAAAAAGTTTTGTATATAGAGCAAAAATAAGTCAGACAACAATACCACAATTATTAACAAAGACTGTAAAAGCATCCAAGTCAGTCTTTTGTTGACAAAAGCCACCAACAATGACCTACGGTGGCGTTTTGGTCCATGTTAAGGGAAGGAAGGAAGGAAGGAAGTTCAGAGCAATAAATTCCAAAGCTTGACATTAATTCGCCTTTTTCCGCAGTGAGCCCCTCTGGTTTTCCCGACTGCCTGCTCCTCGACTTGTAATGTCTGGGAATTAAGACGCTTTGATATTTCAATTTCCATAAATTGCACGGGGAGCATCTAGCAGCGAGCCTTTTGAAGGCAGCAGAATGGGATCACGGAGCGCGGTACAATAGCGACAAGCAAACATCAAACGAAGACATTTTTCCCCCATCCGATGACTTCATGAATTAAGCCAACGCTTGATGAAATGCACCTTCGTAATAGATTGGATGACATTCAGGCCTATTTGTCAGGGTCCGACATGAAGCCCTTTTGACAAATCATGCAGGTTTGTTTACGGCATGAGACTATGAAGTTGGAAAGTATGACTGGGTGACATCCATCCATTTTCTAATCCGCTTACTGTATCCTCACGAGGTTCGTGGGCGTGTTGGAGCCTATCCCAGCTGTCATCGGGCAGTAGGCGGGGGACACCCTGAACTGGTTGCCAGCCAATCGCAGGGCACATAGAGACGAACAGCCATTCACGCTCACGCTCACACCTAGGGGCAATTTTAAGTGTTCCATTTTACCTCCCACGCATGTTTTTGGAATGAGGGAGCAAACCGGAGTACCCGGAGAAAACCCACGCAGGCATGGGGAGAACATGCAAACTCCACACAAGAAGGACGGAGTCGGAATTGAACCCTGCACCTCTGCACTGTCGCCGTGTCACCTGGCTGGGTAACTCAGCTGAAAACGTCATGTCAAACTCCTTTTACAACCCCAAAAAAGAAAAAAAAAACACTCACTTCCATCTTGGGAATGCTGACATAGCCTGGGTGAGGTTTGAAAGCTTGGTAGGGCTGCTTGGACGGCGCCCAGTGGCCACTGAATGCGGGCTGCCACGGGAAGTAGGGCTTCTCGGCCAGGTGGACGGCCACCACGAAGAGTGACACCGCCGCTACGAGGCCAGTGGCAATCACCGACTTCTTCTGCGGGCGAGAAATGAAGAAAGACGTTTTACAGCACTTGGCAACAACGACAAACAAGCGACAAGCGCATTGTCTCTTTGCGAGATGAAGAGCAAGGAAGTGACATCAAAGAAAAAGAATCGAGGGGAAGTGGAGGGAAGCGGTAGGAAGCAAGAGGACGTGAAAGAAGGAGAGAGAGGAAGCGAAAAGGAAGATGGAGACGAGGTCTAAAGAGGAGAAAGTGAGAACAGATTGAGAGGAAGCAGTCAGGAGGAGCGAGAGAGAGCGTGAATAGATTGCAGCATGAATTGTGCATGGCTGTGCATGCAATTGACAATTCCTGAACAATTAATAATCAACCTTGTTCTAAGGGTGAAAATCAGCTTGTTTACCGGCACATGATTGGTTGAAACGGGCATTCAAAGGGGCGCTTGTGTGGGCAAGCCGCACTCCAGCTCCGTCAACAAGCGCTTCATTGGGAACAGCTAATTGCGTTGGGAATTAGAATATATTTTTAACAATTTATCTGCAGGCTGTTTTGCACTATTTGGTCTCTCGGGTGGGGGATACACCCTCCAAACAGCCCAGGAAATAAAAACACCAAGAAAGCTTTTTTTTCTAAGTAACTGCCTCTCAGAAGTTAGGCAGTTCTATTCTGGGGCTGCCTAGCTTGCGTGCGTGTTGGGTAGAATGAGATTTTGAAACTATATCAAGGGATTCTGGAGAGAAATGTACTGCCTGGTATCAGAAAACTTGGTCTGAGTTATGTTCTGGTGCTGCTTTGCTACATATGCTGTCCAAACGTAAGTCAAAGTACTCAAAAATCAAAAGAGAAACATTTAGTCACAGTTTGATGCTTGCACTTCCATCCAACTCCAACAGAGGGCGCGATTGCCTCGGTACCTCATGTTGATTTGTTTTTTTAATCAATATTATTATTATTATTTATGTATTTTTTGATGACATGGGAGCAAAAATCCTTCAATCCACGTCAAACAAGCGCTAATCTGCTAGAGTCCCTAAGGGAGCTTCATGTGCCCTGAAAAACAAAGGTGACCAGCCTTGCGTGACCTTGATGTGAGCTCAGTGAGAAGCCATTAGGCTAATGCAGACCTCACATCTAATGGAACATAATCCCCCCCGAGGATGAAGCACTAATATTTGCCCTTTCTATTCTCGAAAACACACACACACACACACACACACACACACACACACACACACACACACACACACACACACACACACACACCACATTTCGTTTTTTTTATAATAACAATGTACAAGTAGGTCAAAAAAATCCTGCCTTTGCAACAAAGACGACACAGCAATTTTCTACCATCAAAAGGCATTCCACAGTGCCGCAATGACACAGTTTTCTGTTGCCTTGTTGTGTGGAATGTAATTGTCACGGTCCAACAAGTATTTTATGTCACTCCAGGCAAGGAAGTTGTGGCTTCTAGAAAACGGGATTTTTCAAGCTGTGCTTTCAATTTTTCAGTTTTTTTTCTTCGAAGGTGGCACCAGATGAAAACTGCAACGAGACATGGGGCTGTGGGGGGGGGGGGGTTCACAATGAACGACATTTGCGACAGGGCTTAGTCCCCATCCCACAAGAATCGTCAAAATTCACTGTAGTATTTTCCTAATCCAAAAAAAAAAAAAACTATGTTAATTTACTCAAGTAGCTTAAGTTTAAAATGTTCGCGTCATGCAAACAGTCGCAACGATGCCAAATCAGATAACGGGATTTTCTGCTGGCTCAGAGGTCTGCCTCAAGGGTGTCGAGAGCTCGCGGTGAGCCGCTCCACAGAGTAAGTCGAGGGAAAGGCAGAAAAAGCCGGTGAGAAAGTAAAAGGAGGATTACGGCGGTTTGTCACAGACGAGGTGGCGATCCCACACTTGACGTGATGGGATCAAGCCGGGCTTTGCCGGCTTGGACGCTTAGCCTTGGAGTGAATCACTTTGCCATTTAGGCAGTCTGCGCAGAGCTGTTCACACAAGGTCGCCTGTTGATTGGTCGGTTCCGAGGCTTTGGGAGCGCCTGTGTGTCATGAATGCAAATCAGGCTTCCCACACTCTTGACACGACACAGCGTCGTCCATCTGGCGCGTGTAAAATCTTTTCGATGAGTCAGTCTTTACCGGTCCACTGGAAATGGCCAAAATGTCTGTTTGAATCCAAAATGGCAAACCTTTTCTATCTTTCCAGGCATGGGTACTTGAGATTTTTTTGTGTTACCCAATTTTATGTTGCTAAAAATAATTGGCTTCAAATCACCATTTAAAAGATCTCATTTACCACAAAAAATGGAGCTCCTTTTAACAGGCATTTGAACTTTAAGTACAAAACACTGAACAACAATATTTAGACCCACGATGAAAGTTTTACTTTTTTCCCCCCAATTCAATAGTTCACGTACACCCAGGTGCACACTACCGCTTGTTGGGAAACACTGCTTTCAGGGACAAAAACATTCGACCACATGGCCTGTTTTTGTATGTCCACTTTTGGATGTAAACATAATCTGAGCGAGCGAGAAATGATGTCACACACGGGGACCCAACGCTGACACTACAAGTCCCATAATGCACTGCAAAGGCTGACTACGTTGGCCTTTCGGGGACCAAAAAAATCTGTATATCAGCACCTCTTTTTCTCGGACACATCCACTTGGGGAGTTACAGTCGAAATAGAACGAGCTTGTCGGTATGTGACGCACACCACTGAAAGTACAGACCCCAGAATACACCCCGAAACGTTCACATTCGAGGGGCACCCCGGCAGGCCGTGAGCTCATCTCACACTTAAAACATTTTCACGTGGATGATAACCAATACTTGTTAATGATGCTGACATGCGTCACGTGATATCCAGAAACACCTGCATGCACAATGACACGCCTGGCAGCATGACAACAGGCCCACTTTCACGCTAATTTAAATAGACCTCCCGAAAAAAAGGGGTAGCGCCAAGCGGACCTCGCCAAATGAGGTCATACATTGCCCGCGTTGTGCATCACCTTCATCGGCGTGCACGATGTCATCTTCACGCGTTGTTTTCCTTCCTATCCAGGCAGGAAAAAACACAGACACACTTACACACACTACGCCCCCCGCACTCCCCTCGCTTGGTCCGTTTCCCTCCGTTCACTCGCTCACCTTCCACATCCAGGCCATCTTTATTTCCACGTTGCTCGTTGAACGCTCGTCAGCAGCAGCGCTGCACCATGAAAGGTCTCCCGGGACATTCGGTGGGGCAGGAAAAAAAAAAGGCCGAAAAGCAACTGTAGGGTTGGTACCGTTATTCGTCTTCTCTGCGGCCCTTTTCCACCTACCCTCCCTCCACCTCCCAAAGTGGAGCTGCTGCGGACAGAGACTACGCTGCCATCCTATTGGTCCGCACGAGCGAAAGGATCCGCCCACTCACCCTCCCGCTCTACTGTTGCTTGAGCGCGAGACACGTGACCTTGGTGTCCACTTCCTGACTGAGAACAACACTGTCTGGAATCCCCAATTCGAAACCCAAATTTAAAACTGATTTGAAACCCTTATTTGGATCACCGTAAACCCGTTTTGAAACCATAATTTCAAACCATAATCTCACCCTGAAACCTTAACCTTGGCTTCAAAAGCATAAGTCTCATTTGAAACCCTGATATAATACCCTGTGGATTGAAACCCTAAACCCTAATTTGAAACCCGAGTCTTGTCTTAAAACCATAATGCTAACTTGAAACCAATTGAAAGCCTATCTCTGTGAAACCATACCATGTCTTAATAATACAGTACTAACTTAAAACCCAAGTTGAAATCCTACCCTTGTTTTAAACCCCATCACAAACTTGAAAGTCCTTATTTCAGACACTAATCTTGGCTTCAAAACCTAATTTTGAAACCTACCGTTTTGAAATCCTAACCCACTGTAACCTTCTCTTGAAACCCTAATTTGAACCCTAACCTTGGCCTCATATCCTAATTTGAAACTCTTACATTGGTTTTGAACCCATACTCGTAACTTCAACATTTACATAACTCCTTTGGCCATAATTTTGTCCATTACTCTTTTGTCCAATACTTTTACGTTTTGTCCTTACTAGTGGAGTACAGTATAGGGGGAATAGATTTAGTGCGAGTGGTGTATTCACACAGGTAACAGTGCCATCTAGCGGTGCATGACAGAACAGAAGTAACACTACCTGAGGAGCACATCTAAACATTTATTGCCTGAAGGAAACAAATAAGTTACATATTCATATTCACACGAAATGATTTTTATACAGAAGACAAAATAAAATGGGGCGCTCAATTCACATTTCATTATTTAAGTAACCATTCGATCCACATATTGTAAATTTGCCGTTTTTGGAAATGGATGGAAATCCTTGTGTGATATCGGATTTCAATGACAAAATAAAATGGGGCGCTCAATTCACATTTCATTCTTTAAGTAACCATTCGATCCACATATTGTAAATTAGCCGTTTTTGGAAATGGATGGAAACGAGAATCCTTGTGTGATATCGGATTTCAATATTGTTTGATGATAAGTTTCACAGACAGGAATGTTTAGTGATGACAATTTCGGAGTGTGTCCGTGCGAGTGTAACAAATTAACATACGAGGGTTAGCTGAGGAGCTCCGGCTTCAGGCCGAGCTTCTGCAACACGTCCTCGGGCATGCACAGTACAGGATTCACTGCCTTGATCTTCTCATCTCCCAGCAGGGAGAGTCCGGCGATACCAAATAGAGTGTGAAACGGGTCCACCTACGCAAAGGGACGAGTTAGCAATGATACCGCGTCGGAAAGGTCGATTGACACGTTTGCGCTCACCATATCTCCCGGTCGGTCGGCAAAGCCTCCCGTCTCCTCGTCTTGGCAGGCCAGGATGAAGGAGCGCAGTTTGTCCTTGTCGATCCAGTGGATCTTGCCAATGATCCGGAGAGATGCCAGAACCCACCAGGAGTAGCAAACGTCCGGAAGCTGGAACAAGCCGAGATGGTGAAATATCCCACGATGCTTTGCTGGATCCCGCAACATTTACAACATGTCTTTTATTGCCAGACTCCTTCATATTGCTCAAGTAAAATAAGCAAAATATTAGCAACCGCTCTCAGAGTCTTTAGCGGTGCATTTGTAGCATATCGGTGTGCGTTAGCAGACATTTCAAAAAGAGACAATGAAAGCTGATGATGACGCAAAAGTGAGACGGTGAACACTTGGAAGAACCTTCTCGGGCCGCCCATTGAGGCCGCCTGACGGCAGCTGCCTCTCACAGAGCCACCAGCCTAGCAGGTCGGCGTTGAGCTGGTGCAGCTGACCTGTCAGCGACAGGAAGCCCGTGCAGCAGTAAATCTGGCAAAACGAGACGCTGCGGTTACTGACCGCAAGTTTGGAAAGAGCAGTTGCCATGATTCTTCCACATAGCCGAAAAGATGATTGCCCAGCGCTTGAACTAAATATGAACACGACAAGGCGTTAAGATGGCGTTTACCTGACCGGCGTGAGACTCGGACCCGGGCCTGCAGCCGAAACCACCGTCGAAGTTCATACAGGACAAGACGAACTCCACCGCCTTGTCCACGTCGATGGCGTCCATCTTGCCCTGTTGGGAGGGGGGGGCAGCGGCCATTTTATGGATGAGGACTGGGGCAGGCAAAAGAAGCACGGCAATGAAAATGACGCACCAGTAACGAAAGGGTGGCCACTGCGCAGAAGGAAAATCTTGTGTCGATTTCACCTGAGGAGGCAAAAGAAATAAAAATGTCAGACTTGAACAAACTCCAGCACCAACCAAAAGGTCAAGACAGCAACTAAATTCATCACATGTGACAAATGCGAATGAGATCCTTTTGCACCAATCCGGAGCAGGTCCAGATGAACAACAATGTAAATTTCAAAACCTGTTGTGAAACCCTTATTTTGAAATCCTGACTTCAAACCCTAACCTTGTCTGGAAACCCTAATTCAAACCCTTTATTGTCAAAAAAAACCCTAGATGAAAATAAAGATTGTATTGAAACCCTAATCAATTCACAACCTACATTTGAAGCCCTAACCCTGCACTGCAACCAAGCCTTTTCTTGAAATGTAAACCCTGTCTTGCAACCCTAACCTTCTCTTAAAACCCTAATATGAAACTCTCACTTGAAACGCCAACCCTACCTTGAATTCCTAAACCAGAGTTAAAACCCCTCCCCTTGTCTAGAAATGTTAGTGTTTCCCTAATCTTGTCACAAAACCCTAATTTGAAAATAGAAACGTGGCTGCAAACCCTAATTTAAGACCCCAACCTTGAAATTCTACTGGTGTTAATCATATTGTTCCAATGTTGAAGTGGGGGTGCCAATTTCTCTGATATTGTTTATATTATTCTAGTTCCATACCCCATTTATCTCCTGCAAATGATCCGTCGGCCTGCTGCAGCCCTTTGACGTACTCCACAATTTTGTCCACGTCCAGTGCGTCCACGCTGTCATACAAGCACAGAATCTGCCAGGGGGGGTAGGGAAAAAAACGTTGAGGACTGGAGGGCCAGCGGAATCAGGAGAGCATGTGTGCTTATGTGTCATCACCTGCACGGCGCTGAGCGTGTAGAGCAAGTGCGGGTCATGGCCAATGCTGGCGCCAACGCCGCCGCATTCGTGCTGACACGCCGTGATGAAATCCACAATCTCCTGGCGGTTCATGCGCGGCAGCTGGGACATCAGGTCCATCACCGTCAGACCCCAGTAGATGCCGCTCATTCGCAGGTACTCAGACAGCGTGTACTCCTGCTCACGCACACATGACAGTATTTCCTCAAATAGCAGGCCTTGACTCTTTTAATAGGCGCCCAATTAGTCTGTGTCATTCCCTGAAGACAAATAAATGCTTGCCTTAAATAGCCTGTGTTGCGATCCTGTCTTGAAATAGTAAATTGAAACCCTAACGATGTACAGAAACGCTAAATTGAAACCTTAACCCAGCATTGAAATTGTATTCAATTTTATTTAAATCCCGATGTACTAAGATTAACAGGCAGCTCAACTCTTTTTTGCAACGTTTCCACCAAGGAACAGATATATGCTGTGGTTGGCACTATTTATTTAAAAAAAAAAAAAAAGGTACAAATGTATTTCAGAAAAAAAAAGTACAATAGATTGTAGCCCAACATGAATGTGTGCCCTCTAGCGGCCAGGAAGACCAACAACATGGAAAACACGTTCCATGACAGACACCCTAATTTGAACGCCCCACCCTGTCTTTAAATCTTAATTAGAACCCTTAACCCTTGCCCTGGCTGGTAACCCTAATCCTGATTTGAGACCCTAATTTCAAATACGGAACACGCCAACCTTGGCATGAAACTACTGGCGCTTCCATCATGTGGCCTCCAATCGTGATCGGATGATTTATTTCCATGGAAAAGTATGTGATCGATCAATGCCTTTCATTGCTGATCACCAAAAAAAAAAAAAAAAGGAACATCACGGCAGCTCGTACTTTAAGGCCTGCAGCCAACTATACACCACTGTGTGTGCAGTTTAGCATCCCTTCCTTGTATTTGAATAAACAATGTGTGCTATTATTTGTGTTGTTTTTGGTTTTACAGTCAACACCAACTGGGGTGTTATTATACATCTTAAAGCATGCTCAGGGAGGGCTTGACAACTCATTTGAAACAATTACCATGTTTTGAAACACTAATTCGAAACACTAACCCTGACTCAAGACCCTAATTTCATTTAAGGGTTGAATTTAAGCAATATTTTGTGACACAACCTTTCTGACAGAAATGGCGTTGAACACTCACATAGTCATCCTTTTTGGAGCCATAAGCAGCGATGTAGTCTGCATGTTTGTCCAGCAGGAGAGTGTGGGGGGCGTCAGGACTAATGAAGACGTCTTTCACTTGAGTACCCTGACATTAAAAAAATTTAATAAATGTTAACAAATACAGCACCACTGAAGTATGAACAGCTCGAGCATTCCAATGTAAACGCGCTAAATGCTACATCAAATGCTAACCATTTTTAGCTGCCATGTCAATCTCTTGACAATGACCAAGTTGTACTCAACGGAGCATAATGATGCCTTCATTCACGCTCGCTACATGTTCATATTAAAACTTTCAACAAGATAGATAGATAAAGGATCTTTACCATGCCGAAATTTGACGCATGATCATACAGGGACCTGCTCTTCTTCGATGATTGTCAACAACAGTGACAGACGAACGGAAAGACAGAAGGGGCTTTGCTGCCACCAGCACCTTGGAGGGCGAAGTGCAAGTGTAATAATTGTATTTGCTTAATTCATGTTCCTCAAACGCAATACTAATCAGAATACGGTTTTAAGAACAGTAGGGGCTCACGGAACACGTTGTTATAAATTATGAAGAATATTTTTGTTTGATTTCCCCTTTAAAGCGAAGGTTATCGTCACCTGCCAAACCCCTTTGCACATCCCTGCACAGCAGGTGGCGGAATTCTCCAAAGAGATGTATTCCGCCCGTAAATTAAAAGAGGATGAAGCAGACCAATAAGCTAAAGATGTCAGTGTAGTCGTCAAGAGTCACCGACGTGAAAATGTTGAAAGAGTTAGTGAGGGAGCGGCTTATTGAGGCCGCCGACGAAATCTTCGGACTGTTTGAAAGAACGATTGCGTCGTACGAGAAGCAGCTTTGCCGTGCGAGAGAGGAGACCGAGCGCCAAAGACAACTGGAGGCTGTTTGCAAGACTAATATTGTGCTATGTGCCGAAGGTCTGTTCTCTTAACTTCCCACAATGTTTTGTTTACTTTACAGAACGAGAGTTTTGTGTAAATATGTAATCAGACCATTGTTTTTCAAAGCAACTGCAACGAAGAGTATGGTTCTTGACCTACTCAATGTGACCAAGTGCCTTCAAATTTTACTCGAGCTTGATGGAGGACAGTCGTATTTTACTAAGTGAATATCACAATTTTAATTTAGTTAGTTTTTTTTTTTCGCTGCCCGCAGTCTCCCCTTGGATATAATTTAAACTTCCCATGCAAATGGCCACACGGCGGTTAACAAAACTAACCACAGTAGACTATATAATCTAAAATTGTACAAGCTTTTTATGGCTGTGTACCGAAGATTGTGCAGACAGCACCTATTTCTTTTGTCGTAGTGTTGTTGTGAACAAAATGCCTTGACAGAAGCCTCCCTCCCACCTCACAATTTAAGACTAGTTGATCTAAACTCTTGCTTGTGTCCTGCAGATGTCCAGGTGCTGACTGCTCATCAGGAAGAACTCCCCGTTCAGCTGCAACACAGTAGCTCCAATTCGGAGGAGGAGTCTCTACAGCACTCGCTTGTTAAAGAGGAAGAGCCACAGCCCCATCATGTTATGGAAGAGAAGCATCAACAGCCCCTCAACGTTAAGAAGGAAGAGGAGCCAGGTGATGTCGGCAATGAAAATGGACCTTCTCCTGACTTGCCACAGCTTCATCCTCACAGTCCAAGTGGTGACCACTCAGGAGGACCACCACCCGGTGACCTCTTAGCTTCATTGCCAGATATTGACGAGACTAAAGAACTTTGTAGAAGCGACTTAAACTCGGCAGGTTACTGGAAGAGAACTTCACAAATGCGTCCAAAACGTTTCACCTGCTCTGTTTGTGGAAAAACATTCTCTCAAAAGGCACACTTTACAGCCCATAGAAGAACACACGAGCAAGAAAGACGTTTTAGTTGCTCAATGTGCGATAAAACATTCATTCAAAAGGCAAGCTTGGTATCACATATGAGAATGCACACTGGAGAAAAGCCCTTTAGTTGTCCAGTTTGCGGAAAAACATTCACTCGAAAAGACTGCATGGAAACGCACATGAGAATACACACGGGAGAAAAACCTTTTGCTTGCTCATTTTGTGGTAGGGCATTCACTCTTAAGCAAAACATGTTCAGGCACATGAGAATGCACACGGGATAAAATGAAAACCTTTAGTTGCTCATCTTGTTATAAAAACAGGAGAAAAACGTTGTTGCTCATTGTTAAGCAAATGCTATCCTTGACAGGGTCGGTCACTGCAAACCCAGAAATCTCATGGTCGACATGATCAAGGCACTCAATTGTCATTCATGTACACCCACGATAAAGGTAGCGGGGAGAAGCCATCATTGAGGAAACTGGAATCCTACAGAAATACGCATGTCCCAAGCTACTGGTCTGCAAAGATTGGGCCATAAATGTTTGATTTACACAAATCAAAATTTCCCATGGAAATGCTAATTGTGTTCCAACAAACTAGCACTAGTTGTGTTACTTTAAAAGTGCATGGCCTAGTGATTAACATCAGGAGTTGGATTCACCAACAATAAAGTTACATTATAAACTCCAGAAGGTAACTTTTTTGCCTCCGTCACAGCTTTATTAGAACAGGTAACAGACACAGATATCGTTTGTAGCAAAACACTGAGGACATTATTTTTCTCAGTTTGGCATTTGTACATCGGACTTTCATATTTCAACTCACATTCTGATGGCATGTGTGTCATTCGTTTGAAGGGTTACAATTACATGGGCACACCTCCAATCTGGACTCCATTGAGCAAGGCAGCAGGTGACAAAGGGGAATTAAATGCAAAGAAAAAATGAGTTACTTGATTGTGTTTTTACACGTGTACACACACACACACACACACACACACACACACACACAAGGTTTATTTCTTAGCTTTTGCCAAGTGTTCGCGGGCAACAATGAGCCTCTGGATCTGAGCAGTGCCTTCATAGATCTAAAAAAAAAAAAAAAAAAAAGCAAATGTTACAACACATTAGCTGGCCGTGGAAGTACGTAATGTGATTGCAGGGGGGCTCTTCAAGTCCCAAGTGAACACCTTTACTTACAAACGACTTACAAGCCTATTTTGACAAAAGAGTAGAACGTACTTGTTTAAAAGTGGCAGAGAAATAAACTCAAATGCAGAGATCTGAAAAATCAACTTAAACACAGTAACAAAGCATTTGTAGTTGGTTCCGTACTTCCCACCCTGGCAAAACATCACATTGCGGAATCATCGCAGCCCCGCCCACCTGGTAGATCTTGGCGTCGCGCATCAGCTTCTCCACCGGGTACTCGCTGTTGAAGCCGTTGCCGCCAAAGACCTGCACGGCGTCCGAGGCCACCTGGTTGGCAATGTCGCCGGCAAAGGCCTTGGCGATGGAGGCGTAATAGGTGTTGCGCCGGCCGCGATCCACCTCCCAGGCGGCGCGCTGGTATGCCATGCGCGCCAGCTCCACCTTCATCGCCATTTCGGCCAGCAGGAAGGAGACGGCCTGGTGCTGCCAGAGAAAATGCTCCCTTTTACACTGCTGGTAAAATGGCTTATCGTCTTAGGGGCAATTATGATGTATGCATGTGTGAAGGAGGCAACGGATCCCACAATAAAATACATTTGCATTTCTTAACACTTTGAAACAAACCTCAGCGATCACTTTGCCAAACGTTTTCCTCTCCAAAGCGTAAGCGGTGGCTTCGTCGAGGGCCCTCTGAGCCAGCCCGGTGGCTCCAGCTGCCACCTGTGCAACATTATCAGCATATCTAATTTACTAAATGTCATGTTCAAAACGACACGACTTTGCCGTCATGTTACTTACGGGCGGCCGAGTCTTATCAAAGGCACCCATGGCGATCTTGAACCCGGCACCCTCGCCGAGCAGGACGTTCTCCTTTGGAATCCTCACTTCCTCAAAAGTGATGCCTCGTGTGTCTGAACACCTCTGGCCCATGTTCCTTTCCTGAGGTCCCAAGTGGGGGAGACGACACACGCACACAATTAGAATTGCTTGTTTGTCAAATAGTGACCACCCCTCTGAATAATTTCCCACCTTTGAGCCATGCCAATTATTTTACATTCGAAAAATCTCAGAGGACTCAGAGGCCACTTTAAAAATATGTCACAAAACGTATGTCTCACGAAATAATTGATAATTCTGTTGTATGAATGGTTCCATGTGAATTATGCCAGTCACACATTTTTTCGGTGGCATCTTGTTGCCAAGGAACTGCCACATTGAGCTCAAGAGATTAATTTAGACCAGGAGTGGTCAACCAGTCACGGGCGAAGAGCTACAATTTTGACTGTCACTGCAAAGGGCACACAGAAACGTCCCCCATAAGTCACTTGAGGGATCGCGAAGATGTAGTCAATCGACAAGTTAGCATCATTAAGAAGGGCTTTTTGTCACAACCCTTTAGCTCCGCCTCCAATTATTCCAGCAATAAAAGCAGTATTCCGCATTCGCCTGAGACAAACTTTTTTTAACCTTTGTGTATTTTGATGGAAGAAATTTGATTCAAACACGTGGGTTACAAAGAGTTACCATGTGAACAAAACGGTATTTTGATCCATAAAGGATCATTCACTCAAAGGCTCATAAGGCCTTGGAAACAGGACAAATTGTCCGCTAAACATCTTACCTTCCTTCCTACTTGGATTCCGGGCGTGTCCGCATCGACAATGAAGCCAGTGAAAGCCTTGTTGGTGGGGCATTTGGGATCAGGGTGAGTGCGGGCCAACAGGAAGTACCTGGCAACAGAAGAACAAATGAAACACAATCCAGAGAAGATGGATCACAAATTCATTGTTCAAGTGCACATTACCAGTTGGCTTTGCCGCCGTTTGTGATCCACATCTTCTGGCCGTTGACCACATACTCGTCGCCAGTCTTCACTGCCCGGGTCTTGACGCCTGCCACGTCTGAGCCCGCCCCCGGCTCTGTGACACAATACGCCTGCAGGACATCACAGAATACATGATTTAAATATGTCCATCCATTTTCCGAGTCACATACCCTCACAAGGGTTGTGCATAGCTTCGTATTGGCTCATGTCACTTTGTACCTGAAAATGTGATTTTTCTTGTAAAAGCTTATGTGACCCAAAATATTTGAATTGGGTGTTACACCTGCGACATCGTGACTGCAATCACCCACGATTAAAATTTCAGAATGGCAGCAAAACTTGATCGACGGCCGGCCACTCATGAAAAGTCTTTGCAGAATCCTGCAACAGTTCGACTACGAGCATGCTTACTGGGCGAAAAACCACCAAAGGAAAAAAAAATGTACTTACACACATGAGCGGCTCCTCAGTCATCCTCCCCAGATATTTCTTCTTCTGTGTCTCATTACCAGCTATAATGACAGGCATTTGCTGTGGGGCACGGAGACACATCATGACCCTTTTTACAATTCAAATGAAATATTTTACCATTGAAGTGTTTGCCGTGGAATTAGCAGAAACAATTGAGAGCTCTTACCCCGAGAGAATTTGCCTCGATGGCAGTTTGGACTCCCGTGCAGCCGTAGGCCAGCTCTTCCGTGATCAGGCAGTTGTCGAAGATGGACAAGCCCATTCCACCTTATATTTTAAACAATCAACAAATTAACATTTCAATGAAAAATTGAAAAACGTGCCATGCAAACGTACCATACTCCTCTGCAATGTGACCGTTCATCAGACCCAGCTCCCACGCTTTTTTGATGATAGGTAATGGATACTGCAAACCGCAAGGCAAGCAAGTCAAATTGTAATGCTGCAAATTTATCTTGACACACCGCATCATCCAGACTCACCTCCCCGGTTCTGTCATACTCTGCCGCGTGAGGGACAATTTCCTCTCGTGCGAACTTGCGAGCCAGCTGTTGGAACTCTCGCTGTTGATCTGTGAACTCTGCGGCACAGACAGCAAAAGGACTGTTAAACGTGTGAAACGAGCACTCCCTCAATGAGCACTTTCTACCAATGGACAGAATATATTTTCTACTGTGGCAACTTTCTCAGATTTTTGATGCATGATTGGAGAGAATTATTTCTCGGTCATGTAAAACAGTTCCATTTAAAAAATATATAAACTGATGGTCTCACGCTGGGGGCTGACAGAGAACTTTTGACTCTACTAAAAAATGTAAAATATATTGTAAGATGACAGTTCGTTCTGACCGAGCAATTTGATTATACGAGAAATGATGCAACAGGAATGGGACTTTTAACTTTTCATAATTGCACCTCCACACAGGTGTTTCAACCCATTCATTAATTTGGCCAAAATCAGTCAGTGATTATTTCGCATTGTTGAGGGTTGTTAAAAACACACAGTGTCACAAAGCTACATTTGATTTAAAGTATGGATGGTCGTCAGATGAAAATTAAAGTAAGAAAGAAGCCCAGAGATGTCACCACAAAGGGGCACCAGTGGGATTAAATGATAGCAAGTGTACAAACAGGGTTGGACACTCAGTCAGCATAATAAAGCGGCCAACATTTTGCATTTTCAGAGTATTTTATGTAACTGTCAAAACAAGCAGCTTCATTTGTATCTTTGCTGCCAATGTTGACACTTTGGCAAATTAGTATGCCATGCCAATTTGCAGACCTATTTGTTTTAGCAGAGCAATTGTGTGTTGTAATGTTTTAATTTTACAGTTCCCTTAGTATCAGCCAACGAAAGAGATACTTTTCCACAATTTGATATTATCTATGAATATTGCGATCGCCTGGCAACCAGTTCAGGGTGTACATAAATACATAAGGTAACTATTAATTTTCCAATCCGGTTGCACCTTTTCCGGAAACCGCTTCAGGATTGATTGACAACTCGATTTTCAAATTTAGACTTCCCAGCTGTGTTTGGACAATTGTGTTTCTGAACTAACCCACCAATCAATAAATCATCTCCATCAACCGAGGTGACAAAAAAAAAAAACTGTTAAGTGAAGATCTTGAGACCACCCACCAAACGAGAAGCCAGTAGCTGCTGCGGTATTCTCGCCGGAGATTTTAGCTTCAGCGGCGGTGGCGCTGGAGCTTTGGAGCCGAACGACGCCGCAGCGCATCCCGGCTCTGAGTACCTGGAAGTAGTTGTGGGTAACCACAATTCAGTCCCCGAATAACCAGTAACACCACTACAGCAGTTCGATTGGGGTATTTGTGAATACACTTGAAGATTAAAAGCCGTTAAAAATACCGTTAAAAACAAGCTAACGTCAGCCATATGTGTACTTCATTTGCTAGCACGTCTACACATCGACGCGTCATTTTATAAAGGAAACAAGCACATGGTGACTCGATTCACCTCCTTGGTTGATCTTTGGATACAAGTAGATAACGTTTGAAAAATGATTAAAAACTCACCTTATTCAAGAGCATCGTTGCGACTTCAACTCAGATTGAGCCCCCCCTCGAATATGACTGCCCGCTCGCCCAATCACGGTGGTGCGTTCGGTCACGTGGCCCCAGTGGGCTGTCGGAGTGAACTTTGCCCTAGTGCTCGTGTGTGGAACTTCACCTTTCACACCCTTCAAACGTCTTTCGGAATGCTACTGCGAGCCAACGCAAAACCGGAGGTTTCATAAGGCTCCGTTCGTTGAGCATTTTATGGTAAATTATAAGTTTAAAGTTAGTAATGTCAAATATGATGTATCTGCACAGGCATACAGTTGTCATACATCCCCATTGCACCTATTAACAGAACTTTTACATTTCAGATAGCTATAGGAAAATAGCTATAGGAAACGATGGCCAAAAAGTGGATGCACATATGGTAATTGGGCTGTCACTAAGATAGAACTTTTCCTACCTTTGGAACTCAAAGCAATTTACACGGTTTCCTCGTTTAGCTACTAATGACGCAGCACCAGGAGTAACTGTTCTGAAGTTAGCATTTCTTTGTTGACATGTCTATGTACAGCGCACACGCAAAATAAATGGGTGCTGGAGGCTTGAAAAAAAAATCCCCTTTTTAAAAAATTTTAGTTGCACTGAATAAGCCATATGAGTATCAACAAGGGCAAGAGAGAGTTCTGTGCTTTTGCGAAGTCCACCGGGTACCGACCCTACAGGTTAAAATTAAGAAGTGCGGGCACACCATAGCGCTGTATACCAACCATCTGAAAGCACTTTTAGTCTATAATATTTACAAAACACGATTTACCTGAAGACAGGTGTTCTTAAGAGAGTAAAAACCAGGACGAATTTGAGACGTTTCTTATTTTTTTAATTGGCATGTGAAAAACATTTATTTGCCTTTCTTGGCCTTGATCTTCCTCAGATAGAACTCCAGTTCTTTGCCCTCCAGAATGTATCCGTCTGCTCGGCCACACTGCCCTGGTCTGGAGGCGATGCAACCTGCAAATGGACAATGCGGAATTTACATTAACTTCGGGCTACTCAAGTACCCCACTTCATTTCGACATAATTACTATACATTCTAATAGGCGGGACTGCTCTTTTTTCTTTTGGCTCACCAAGAAGTTTTCCCTGTAGGAACTGTTCCTCCAAGAGTGGGCTGATCTTGGCCAGTTTTTTACGCTCGTCATATTTCTTCTGGGTCTTCTTGGACCTCTTCTTGTTCAGGACCTCTTCCTCCTCGGGAGTCTGCAGAGCAAGGGTTGATGACAGTTTAGCTCCAAAACGTCACAATCTGACACATCTCAAGAGCGATTGGGTTGAGATGACAGGTCTTTCTCAGAGTTTTTATGAACATCACTTCCATTCAGTTGCAGAACTGGACAGTTTATCTTCACGGAAAGACGACAGACTTATTTGTATGTAAAACTTGGTCATTCACCAGCTTGGCTCCCTTCTTGCGTCCCAGAGGAGTGGTGTAGTGACCTTCATACCACTGCCTGTAAGGGAGGCTGTCAACCAGCACGATGCAGTTCTTCACCAAGGTCTTGGTTCGGACCAGTTCGTTGTTGGAGGCGTTGTAGACCACGTCGATGATCCTGGTCTTGCGTGTGCAGCCTGTGTGAGATGAAATGCTGGTTTTCAACTACCACCTGATTTATGACTACCAAGTGTTCCCAGTAGGGAGATTGTCAGAGTGTCAAATATCAGCACTTGCATTCATTCAGTAGCAGAACTGGACAGTTAGTTATCTTCATTGAACATCTCAGGAAGCTTTAGAACCACCTTAAATTTGGAGACTTACACTCAGAGCCCCATGAGAAGTTGCCAACGTCCAATCTCAGGGCACGATACTTCTTGTTCCCACCACGGACCCTCACGGTGTGGATACGGCGAGCGCCAATCTAAAGAAAAGCAATTCTTTTAACTACTATCAAACCCATCCAGTCAAAATTGTTCTTATTTCTTAATCGTGTGTCAGTGTAACTATGACAAGGCCTAGCACGGGTAGGTCCCAAGCTTTGCACCAAAACAGTACAAATAAGACCTACCTAAGGTCCAGTTTTCATCACTCACGTGACATTAAAGGATAAACCACAACATTTGACATTTACCTTTGTGTTTGCGGGAGGGCGTCCGAGTTCATACTTCCTCTTCTTGTGGTAGGGCTTACGTTTGCCGCCGGTTTTACGGCGTTTGTGCCAGTTGTCCCTCGAGATACCTAAGATTATATCGGAAGTTTTAGAAGGCGGGCCAAGCATGAGCACATGCACACGAACCAGTATCAGACAATGCTTGAGCGATCAGTTCTCCAAGGTAGGTTGTCCACACTATGCATTCGGATTCCGCATTAACAGCTTCATCATGTCACTCAAGCATCGTCAAAACTATAGCCAGTAACCGTAGGAAGAGCACTGCACGACTTCAAAAATCTGTAATGTTTATAACAGCAGCAAGCAGCGGATACAAAAACGACATTTAGCTAGTTTGTGACATTTAACCAATTGTAAAGAAGGCACGTTGTAGCTTGAAGATGCTACGCGATTATCAGCAACGCTAACGTCGATTGTCCAAATCACATGATTGGATTTACCAGCTTCTACATGACAAGGAAACCTCCAACTTCGTGAGCACACTATGATAAAATACCTTATTTTGTCCCCAAAACTACAATCACGCGTGCCATGCCGTAATTCGGCATCAAAAGCTCGAGACACGGCTAGCGAGGAGCCATCTTGGAGCATTTCACACGTCCACGGAAAACGACTTCCTTAAAACATTACAACCAGCCCGCACATACTCAAACTGAAAACATAGTTACTCAATTTCTACTCAGCATTTATATATTTACAAGCAAGTTCAAAATGTCTAGTATAAAACGACAGATGGACACGGATTCGCCCTCCGACCCAAACATGAAAAGTCGTACCCATTCTCAGGCGCCGGCTAGAAAGAGGAATCGCAAGGGATCATGGGAAGGTTTGAAGCCAATTCGTCTCGCGAGAATTCACGTTGAACAACGCGGTTTGACGTTTGTAAATATGCTGCTTTATAATTTATAGTAATAGAAACAAATACTGTATATTAAGATATAATATATAAAATATTTTCTACGCATCCCAAATGTAGTATCTATTTTTTACACTTTTAATGTTTTGCTGTCAAATAATGCGTGTTATGTTGTCCTGTGTTTGAATGAAATGTCAGTTTTAATAATTTTTTCACTCACCAGCCACAAAATTGTTTTCACGACAACTAGACGTCTTAATGAGATCTGAAGAGCTTTCTTTTTTCAATTACGCTGGTCAATAGCAAATTTTAATCAGAGCTGGCGTTACTTGTCCCTAAACTCCCTAAGCGGCTTTAAAAAATGTCAAAACATTTTTCTCCCCATCAGATTACGTTTTTGAGATATTTTCATTTTTGTTTTTTTAAGTTTGACCTCTAAAAGCTTGCGCAATACGGATTTTTATCATGCCCTGCAATTTATACTGTATAAAATGAGGCTCGATAATCTTTAAAAACCAAGCCTTTTTGGGGGTTCTTGACAGGCAGACAACAGACTGTTTTTCCACATTGTCACCTTCTCACTTGGGAAATTGAGTGACAATGTTGTCAACCCTGAAGTGGCATTTTCAACTTTTGTTACTCTCCTGTTCTTCCTCAATACTCAAGGCTCTGTTGAATGATAAGTACTCTTGGGGGCTCCTTTGTGGTGCTTTGGGTGAGAGGGGAGTACACCCTGGACGACTGTGAGCCAATCACAGGTATATTACACATGCCATAGTTACAATAGTGTAATCACTATTACATCTTCTTGAGATTGTCACACAAACAATAATGCACAGATATCACAGGAGAGAAAAAGTCAAGTTTCCATAAACAGTACATTTCTTTATTATTTTCTCTTTCTCTATTATTTACAGCTGTGATGACTTGGCAGTTCTTCCTTTTCAAAAGTGATGCAAGTGCAGCGAAACTCCTGGAGGGGTCACTCTTCCCAAGGGCTCACATCCGTGTCGATGGCCACGCAGTTGTAGGCGGCGTAGCGCAGCTTCTCCTCGCAAACTTTGGCGCTTCAATGACAAAATCCACACATGCGACATTCAGCGGGCTCATAAATACAGCATATAAACGCAGTCCGAATATGCGTTTCAGATGGCTGACTGACTACCTCGGGTAGTTGGGTAAATAGAGTGTGCTGGAGCATGTGGAAGACTGTGGAAGCGCGTCGCTCTCAGAGCTACAGCAGGAAGTAAACGTTTAAAGGTTAAAATGTCCATTTGCGAGTCTGGTTAAGTTATCATTATACTTGCCAAAATACTTGCTTGTCAGAAAAGATGTAAATGGGGGCGGGAAGACGACTTCGACCGGTCACAAACCTCAGAAATCTGCTACGGTCCTCTGAAAAGATGGTGGGCGGGTGAGGGGTCATCAGGTTTGATGATGGATTCATGCGTTGAGGATGAAGAGAGTGAGTCGACTTACCATTCGTGAAGTTGGTGAGCGCCTCCCACAAATACTGCACACGAACATCATTTTGTTCCAGGTCCTCATAGCAAGCTGGCAAGCAAATTAGAAACACATTAGCTTCTTCCACACAGATATCTGGCATTACACCTGCATTTACATTTTTACACAACGACACGGCATCCCGCAATCAGACAAATAGATAACATCAGTGCTGTTCAACTCTCCTCCCCTGATGCTAACTATCACAGTCATTAGCGACAATAACAAAGATTATTTGTGCAGTCAACTCACTGAGTCTTTTGAGTGCTTCCACACTGATCTCTGGGTCTCCGCAAACTTTCTTCTCTACTTCCTGCCAGGTGAGGAGATCCAGAACCGCCTGTGGGACCACCTTGAGCAGCCCGGCTTGTAATGCCGCGATCTGCGATTCCGCAAACAGACGGATGATCCGTAAAGGGCAAAAGGCGAGCGTCGGGATAATAGCACGGAAAGGCACCTGTTGCTTGCTTTCCTCCAGTCGAGCCTTTTGCACCAGGCGGATGAACTCGCGGCGGTCCTCGTAGCGGACGGCCACATTTCCGCCGCCTGGGACCAGCTCCACCATCTGGCCATCGCTTAGCAGCGTCGTGTACACCAGCTCCTCGCCGAAACGGAACTCGAACGTCTCGCGGTCCATATTGTCCATGGCATCCAACAGGTTGACCTGACAATGCAGCCGAAAAGCTTTTTGGTGAGGACACTATTTGAGGATTTGGGCAAAATATGGTAAATGAATATATCATAAGAAAATAAAAATAGTACACAGACATCCTCACCAGCACAGAGTCAACAGCGTGGAAGTCTTTGCTCCAGCTGACTGCCTCGCCGGTCAGCTGCTTCCACACCAGGCCGGGCAGAGCTAGAACCTGTCAGATAGGAACAACAACAACAAATTAAGTTTGGCTGAAAACGAGACAAAAGAATCAAGAAGACAAGAATCACTAACAAGGAAATCTTTCCCTCTAAGTGCTGCACCCATGAGCTGCCCAATCCACTCATACTTGTGGAATTCTTTGCAGGATGGGTTGGGGACGTAGTAGTCTCTGGCCTCCAAGGCACCCTGAAGAGAAACAGAGCCCAAAAAAAAGAATGGAAAAGGAGGAAAAAAAAACACATGAAACAAATATTTGGGAAAAAATAAAGCTTTAATTCTTGTTTTTTTGCGCATGGAACTATCATATGTGACCTTAGCATGGCACGGGAGCGGTTTGTCTTGTGATTACTTTTATTGTGGTAGGTCTATACTTCCTGTTTTGTTCCCAATCCCAAAGTAGAACTCTTCACCAGAGCTGGTGGTCATCTTTTTGTGAAGAAAGGGCTTTGATTTAGACATTTAATTCCATCCTTTTCAACTAGTACTGTACTGCTCTTATTTTGATTGGTCCCAACTTCCTTTTTTGTTCCCAATCGAGCTGGTGGTCATCTTTTTGTGAAGAAAGGGCTTTTTTGATTTAGACATTTAATTCCATCCTTTTCAACTGGTACTGTACTGCTCTTATTTTGATTGGTCACAACTTCCTGTTTAGTTCCCAATTCCATGTGCTTGACAGAGAAGCCACAGTCTCATTGTCCTGGCACTTATATGACAGTCAATAGTGCTGGAATATTACTTCAAGTATTGCCTGTACAATTAATAAAGAGGATTCTTCAGGTTCCGTCATACCTGGCGCCTCCCTGCTATTTGACGCCCTCTGCGATGAACTTGCATTCCCACCACTGGTCGTAACGAGCAGGCCACCTGTAATCCAAACTCTTCTCCATTTTATCGGATGGCTTTAGGCCTTCGTACACCTGCGGGGTTACAAGTACAAATGTGACCGCAATATAGCTGTGACGTGCAGTAGTGGCAAGTATTGAGGTACACATTTTGTGACTACACGTAGATGCATTTGTCATCTGTACTGGAGTGTTTATACTTGTGATGTTTTTCTTTAACTCCCTAAATTTGTAAACAGATATCTGTACTTTGTACTCTTTACTTTGTCAAAATAGGCTGGTCGAAAATGTCTTCAATCTCTACAGACTACATTTCAGAGACTTTTTTTTTTCTTTTTTGACTCTCACTTGATAAAAGGAGTTGATTGAGTATCTCTATTATGTACTTTGGCCACCATAAAATCAAGCAGAGCTGACCTGACTGAACACGGCGTTCTTGCAGCTGGGGTCCAGCGAGGGGTTATCCCTGTGTTCCATGGCAAGCCGCCTGTTGATGTAGAGGCACGGCAGAAAGTTGGGCTTGCTGGTCTCTGAGTCCTTCAGGCACTGCGTGACCAGCGCAGAGCGGCGTTTGGACTGCAGTAGGAACTGCTTTATGCTCTGGAAGGTAGTGCAAAGAAACAAAGCCAAAAAAAAAAAAAAAAAAAATCTCAAAACTGCATCAGAAATGTCTTTCACGCGCAGACTGTACTTTTATTCATAACCTTTCAAAAGTGGGATACTATCACAACTGTCTGTGATAGATGACGCCAAGTGTTTGGTGAGATGTATAAAATCTGACTGCAACAATTGCTGTCAACCCAAATGATGTGAGTGTCAGATGTCAAACAGTCGATCGTCCATACAAAGTCGATCCTTGAAAATCACAGTTTAAATGAACAAGTTCATCTTAAATATATGAAACACCAATAAACTCACTTTGATGTGGTTGAAGGTGCCCAGGCTGTAATCCCAGGCAGGCACAAAGTGCGGGAGAACGTTGTCTAGTAAACAAATGAACCTGTGAAAAGAAACATCAAGGGATGATTTTTCACACTTAGCCCATATGAGCATTTTTCATTTGGCTTGCTTGACTACAAACATTTACGACCTCTGGATGATCAGCGCTCGACGGTAAAGGACATCAGCCGGCGTCCCCTGCAGACGGGGGTAGCGCACCAAGTAGGAGGACTGAAAGACGTCGGCGTTCAGTCCAAGGTCTCGCTCGCATGACGACTTGATCTTCAAGCCTCGGATGCGCACATCTATACCCTCATCTTTTCCAAAGAAAGGGCCACATATACACGAAATGATAGATGGTTCAAAAAAACATTTTATCAATTGGCCATCTGTCAAGCATCAAGAATTATTGTCAACCTTTCATCCTTTATTTTTTTTTTCGCCCTCTTGAACAGGAGTCAGATTTGACCATGCATTGTAATTTATGATGTTTCGCTGAATCTAACCCGTACGTCATAAATTTAGGGGCGCACACAGCAAGTCCACTAAAGACGTAAATCTTCACGCCACTCATTTTCACTATATTACTGATAATTGGGATCAAGTGTGGAGCAGAAGTTTGTCAGCAACAAAAAATATTCAGGAATAGTCATTTAAAAAAAAATCCTGGCAGCACGAGCGCGTGTAAATGAAAAAGTAACTTGCTCCCAAATGTTCGGAGCAAGATGCCGCCATAAAGGACCAGTCTGGAGCCCTCTAATTCATAAAATTCATATTTAACTGTGACTTCAGAGATTTTCATCTATTGCTAGGGGTTGTGGAACGGAAATCCTGCGATAACTACTGTCTTCCAAAATTACAATTGTACAAATAATTGCTCCCTCCTTCCAACCAATACCTCGCCCCACCTGCATCTGTAAATCAAATCTCACCCCGACATTCCTCAATTCGGACCTCAATGACTGGCAGGTGAGATGACATGTCTTCCAGCACGCATATCTCCCCAATCAGATTGCTGCAGACAAAGTGAGGCAAAGGCGTTTAAAAGTTATACTGTGCTGAATCAGAGTCTGCAGATTGAAATGCGGCAATTTTAAGAGGCTCACTCGTCAATGGTGACGTCACTCAGCTTCTTCAGGGTGTCTCCCTCGCCTCCGTAGACGGTCACCCTCTTTGGCATGTAATTGTCGTCTGTGGAGTCCACCGTCAAAATCAGCTTACTACAACACAACGGACAAACATTTGCACTTGGATCACAACAACAACGCAACACTGGCTTTGTTGGCGGCGGTGGCTCCTGACTTGACAACAGTGCCCCTCTTCATGTGAAGGCGTATCCAGTGCTGTCCCTGCATTCCATCGCTCTCCCAATATGTTTTGGTGTCGCCATCTGTCAAGCTGTTCACGCCGCCGCTGGGGTCCTCCTGGCAGTGATGTGATCAGCATTCCGTATTGTTTTGACAAACTTTTTGTCTGGAACTTGAGTCGTCTTTGCTACTCACCGAACATGAAGAAACGTCAATACTGGTCACGCTCTGCTTCAGGCTGCCCAGGTTCTCATCCTCTTTGCCAATGTGGTCATAGAAGTAGTGCACCAGGTCCTCATCGCATTCATATGTCCACGTTGGAGGTATATACCTAACAGTAATGAGTCAATGTTTTATTTGAACATCCTTAAGAGCACAAAAGACTTTGGTTTGAATCTGTGACTGGTGTTGTGCATTTGAGTCCATCTCGTTAGTCAAACATTTTGCAGGTCTCGAGTTCATTTTTTGGGGGGTTTAACCTATAAAACATTGCACAGTTCAGATTTTACCATGTATTGTAATTTATAGCTATGATGTTTCAGAAAAAAAACAATCCGCCTGTTGCTTCACCTGACCATTAATACTATTAAATATATTACCATACATATTATCATTGTTATTATTTTTAGCACTATCATTATTATTATTATTATTATGTGGTAGAAAAAAACATGAGGGCAGATTTTGAATCAGCACAAAAAAAGCTTATCTAGAAAACTTTACTTGCATATCTGATTACATTTTTTTTTTTGTAAAAACGTGATGACCAGTGGAACGACGCACCATTTTCAGTGAAATTATATCTGTTTTAAAAAACAGTCCGTGACATCGGTACACTTCAGCAGCTTTCTAATTAAACATTTATTACTTCAGACTCACCTCAGCTTCTCTACCGCGGCGGTGTCCGGCTCCGCTATCTTGGGTTTGGATCCAAGGAACATGGCATTCTCCACGTCCACCACGTGCTCCCACCTGTTACAGGCCTTGTGGTCGTAGCCCAAGAGCTGCTGTTGTCTGCCCACCGTCTCGGGCGACTCCACCGGCACCAGCCTGTCGCCGCCCTCAGTGTGCTTGCACACCAGGATCCAGCCTTCCTCGAGCTCTTGCCCAGGACGGTGTTCTTCCAGCTGCTCCTGGACACACACACAGACACACATTTTTGAACATGAAACATTGTGTCTTTGTATTCAATTAAATATGGGTTGAACATGATTTTCAAATCACTGTATTCTGTTTTCATTAATGTTCAATACAACATCACAACTTCACTGGAATTGGGTTTGTAGTAAAACATTATGGCTAGCTTGCTAGTATACTATAACACACTATTTCAATGTCAAGAGCATGTCAGTGCCATTTATCCAAGCAACAGGAACGTCAATAAGCCTGTCCCTTAGTGGTGAAGTTAACTTTGTCCGCGTTTCCACCATGGTTGATTAAATGACGTTTTTGTTTATCAGTGGAGTAACTAAAATGTCTTTAGCTTTTGCCGCACGGAAATTTGACATCATGGTTAAAAGAAGGTAATTGCATCCGGGGCCAGGACCCACTGCTTCTTACCTTATTTATCTTGACCCAGAGACCTTGGCTGTTACAGTACTCCTCCCCTGAGGTCCGGATACACATCCCTTTCTTTAGCTCAATGGCGTACTTGCATAGTTTCTTATTAATCGGACTCTGGTGTGGGCTGTCAAAGACGGATACCACAGTCTTACCGGAGCCTCCCGTGGAGGCCCCCGAGGCAGCGGCGCAGGAGCTGGAGGACGAATCCTTGCAGATTTTATAGCACACTTCTCTGGGCACATAACACAGGCTGTCGGGAAGGGGCTCGCTCTTTCGGAAACACTCAATACAACGGTTCAGAAAGCGAATCCGGCCGAGCAGCAAGTGAGGACTGTCCCCCAGAGACATGATGATGGTGGAGATGGATGTAAGTGGCAGTCAGATGACATGACCCCACGGTCTTCCCCGTTTGCGCTGGGACCCCACCTGTCAAACGAAACAAAAACGAAATTTCTGAACGTCAAACACAAAAGCAGCAGTCACGCGCAGGGCGTTGCTTTCAAGCTCTCACACAGAGAGTCTAAAGGTGAATCGGTGAGCAAAGTTCCGATGGACCTGGTGGTAAATCAGTCAAGTCCTCGAGGAAGCTAACACGGCAAGCTAGCAATGTGTTGTGAATTGAGCAGCCCACAAGTTATCAAAGGGTCTTAACAAATGGTAGACACTACATAGAAACGACATTTAACTAAATTGACCTAATATTCCACGTACCGTTAATGGCTGCCAGCGCCTTATTTTTCGTTGAATCTTTAATCGGTGTTGATAATAGGGAGACGTGACGGTACACTACGGAAGTGCTTTCGATTCTTTTGACCCGCTCTGATTTCCGTACTTAAAATTACATGTGATTTGTCTTTTTTTGGTAGGGTAGTCGGTTTTCTTACTGTAAAAACGTTTAAATAGAAATTAATTTATTGATTTTGAATTAAAAAAAAAACCATTGTTTCGTAAATTAGCAATGTGATCAAATAAAAATGTACAAAGCGACACTAACATTGACGAATATAATATTTAAAATCCAATAAGTAATACAAAATACAAACCATTAAAAATATGAATGTAAAAGGAAATTTATGTCATTTGATTTTGAGGCCGTCCCACTTTTCCCCACAATGCACAGCGACAGAGGGTATATTTTTGGCACGTGACTTCCGCTCTCTCCTTCTCGCTCTTGATCCTGTGAGATGTCTTACACGTGGTACATGTCGTCCATGTCGAGTTCTCGTACAGCTGACCTCGGTAGGATTTTCACGCGTTACAGTTTGTGTAAATCGTTTCCCGTCATTATAATGTTAATTTTAATATGCTGTTTGAATTGTGAGCATAAATAATTGTGACGGAACTCGATGCACGAGGTCGGCACGATGCACGTGAGCGATTTTTAAGGAATGCACCGCTAAAGCTAAAGGTTTCAAGGGCTCTTGTGCTAATACTCGCAGTTAAAATACTTTGAACATATATTAATGACGTTTTTGTATAATATCCAGTATTTTAAACGTCGGGGTCCTGCAGTCTTTCGTGATTGACCATCAGACCGGCTTTGAATTCAAACTTGTTTGTTTCAGGGATGAGGGCCTCCCAGTGGAATGAAATCAGAGCCGTAGACGTGGGATGAAACGAACAAACTACTTTGTGTCCTTGGAAATAGGTAAACAACATTGCTGTAAAGACCAGAGTAATACGTTTAAATTGGTTTGTGACAATTGAAGGCATGCATTTCAAACTTGGACTCCCAACTTCCCAGTAGAGTGAGACACCACCTATTCGAGATTCACCATTTCTGGAGTCTCTTTTATTTGCGTGGTTTTTGTTTATGTAGAACCAAAAACGTCATAAGATTTTATGGAAGTTACATTTACCACCAGAAGATTCCATTAGTTCTAACCAACTAAGCTAATTGTGAGGTTGAAGCCAAAATTAGAGTAGTCAACTTGTCCGGTTCTCCATTGGCAGTTTTGGAAGTTACGTTGATCAGATACTTTATGTGAGATAAATTTTAAGTGCTCGGATAAAATAGTTAGAATCCCCTCACCAAAAATGCCAAATAGATAACGGCATTTTTTTATATCAACCAGCACACAGTCAGCTGCCCAGGCGACGTGTCTGGCTCAGTGTTACTGTGCTGGAAGAGGAAGTCCCTGCACATGTCCTCAGCCCCACAGGTTCTGTTTTAGAACCTTCTGTTGCTGAGTGGCTGCAGGGCGAGGCCCGACGAGAGTGGCCCGTTCCTGGACCCTCGCCGGAACGGGCCTAGTGCTGGGCCGCACACGCATCTCATACGTACTGCCATTTTGGACAAATGTAGCCTCGGAAAAGTTGCCTTTGAATACTGTCACAAGGGTTGAGTGATGCCTGTTAAATACCACTATTGCTGCCCAAACATCTTCCATGTCTGTGAGGTAACATCAAAGTGCAAGTGGTTTCAATTAGTGAGGTTTTTTTGTCTTGCAGCATTACTTTGCAACTGCTGGCCACGTCGCGATATCAGTAGTGACTCTCAATTTGAACTCAAGGTGAGTTGTACATTGTATTTGTCATTAGGCATGGGCCAGTTACCAGTACTAAGGTAGATCACATACTTAAAAATCACCCGTTTCAGTGGGACCTGCAAATATTGAAACATATATCTTTGAGCTGTAACTGCATTACTGTGCGATTTTGCTCAATTACCATCCCATCAGAATCTGATACTGGCCCATGCCTACTCGTCATGTGTGCGCTGATGTCTTTCTAACACATTATGCAGACTTAACACCATGGTGAACTTTCACACTTAGCACACCAAGTTGCGGTTGCTCGTTAACTTTTATATGGACATACTTTCAAACTCTATTCCTCTGTCCCCAGTGGTAAATGCAGCAGTTGACTGGCTTTGGGCAGGCCCGGCTTCAGGTGTGTTATGTTTATTTATAGATAGATATAACCCCAATCATATACTGTCATGCCAGAGACCACCCTCTCTGCTGTGGAATCTTTGTATTGGGAGAAAAAGCATGAGGACTAACCCAGGTTGTGTAAAATCCAGTTTACCAGAACCTAAATGCAGCCCTGAGACATTCCTAATGTATTTAAATGCAAATGTGGCGTGTGCTTCACTCTCCCTTAAATGTCTGCTTTTTTTCTCTATAGTGACTTGGGCCCCTGCTGACTGGGGGATTCCCTTTCAGGTGTGTGCGCCCGTATTTTTAATATGCAGATGTAAATCCCCAATCGTTTGCTCCCCATGCCAGATACGACCATCTCTGCTGTGGTGTCTTCATATTGGGGTAGAAAAATGTCGGGACTTGGCACAGGTTCATGTGAAATCCAGTTTACCAGAACCTGACTTTAAGCCCTGGAACACTGCCAACGTTTGCTTTAAATGTCAATACGAGCCGTTTCCCTCTCCCATAAATGTTCGCTTTTCTTTTTAGTGATTTGGGCTAAGTGTGGTGATTGGAGACTCTTTCCATACTCCAGAGGCGACTTGGATTGTGCTGTTTTTTTGTCCTGTCACAGATTTTTTTTACAAGTATGTCTTGTATCTGTTAATTAAATTGAATGTGTCAAATGTTGCATTCTTTCATTACTTCAAATGGCAGCTGACGTATAGTGACCTCATCTAACCTTGGAGCAAATGTCAGTAAAGTTATTTCTATTTTAGCTAAAACGATTGTGGGTCAGTTGAACCCTTTTTATTGCTTATTTTCACACACAGGAACTGAGATGTTTGAATTGTGGGAAAATTCATCAAAGGGGAAATGAACCCAAACGTTTACTTAAGTTCTGTCCAGTCCTACTCGTCGTGTAAACATGGGATTTTGATTAATATTGCCTTTGTGGACTACGAGTTGAGTGGAAAATCCGCCCGTTTTTGTTCATCTCAGGGCCTGCCATATTGCCCTGTGCAGTTGACTGAAAATGACACCAGTTTCTCGGGGCTCTGGTTACAACCAGTCATGGCTCAGCTTCAGGAAACAGGTGAGCTGTGATGTTTTCAGTTCGCAGAAAGTGGCAAAATGGCCCACCCTTGAGATGACTAAAACGGGTGGATTTTGCTGCTTAACTCATATTCCACAATCACAATGTCTTAAAAGACTAGTGGAGGTGCGTAGAACATATTGCTGTAAAGAAAATGGAATTGACTTCCCATTTAATTTGGGTGAAATCAATTTTCAGTGTTCCAACAAAATGGTGGGCTAGTGTAGATTCTGCTTTAACCATCTTGTGTAAAAGGGATCTCATCCTCCTGGTTGACATCCTCCATAAAGTTATGTGTCGACACATTCATTAACGATGGAAGGTTGTGCCCCAGCCGGAGGCAGTCTTTATCCTCCAGTGAGGAGCCCCGTCGAGGCAAAGTATCAGGCTGCTCCAGCTCTACATCCTCCAGGCTCATCCTGCAAATATGACAATTCCATTTTAGATCGAGGATTTGGACGGTTATACTAATACATAGCTACTGATACTAATACATAGCTACTGATACCAATCTAGTACAATATATTTGACTATGATATCAATACTTTGATGACACAATGTGTTTAGCCTGATGATGGCCAACATAATGGATACTAGCAAGATGCGGGATGATTGCTGGCCAATGATACCAGTGTTATGCACTAATAATTTCATAAAACTACCAATTATTGTCACACGATAAGATATTTGGGCTGATACCAATGTGATCAGGAAGTGGTATGATAGTCCATCAATACCCATATGCTTATCAAAATGCAGTATTTTGGAGGTATTATTTGATGTACTATTCAGCAGGTGATACTAATATCGCATTATGATATTTGACCAATGATATCAATACTGTCATGATACAGATTGTTATGTGGTTAAGGATGCTCCAAATTTTCGCATGATCGGTCTGATTTCAGAACTATAGTAGCCCACTGAACTCTCGCTCTGAGAGAGGATTGGAATCAGACCGTTAAATTTAAGTCTGATACCTGAATATCGATACTGATAATATCACAATACTGTATGATCTTATAATTTTGTCCAAAGACGCTGATATCTTCATATTTTCCCAACAATCAAGTTATCATCGTACAGTATTGTCATTTATTGTCAACAATGTGACTAGCGATGCAGACAGTATCAAGACATGAAAATGTCATGACACCTGGCTAAAAATACAGATGACACAATACGAGGACATGACAGACCTCATATCAAAGGTGGAGCCTTTGAAAGCAGGTCTCAGGCGGTCCGCTGCAGTGGACATAGTGTAAGGGATGGAGAAATGTTTTTGGGCCCAGTGCTTGTCTTTCTCTAGTGGTGCCAGGTTCTGGTACATGTCATCCACAGCCAGCATGGACACCTTTAAGGACACAATGTCAGCACCGTAACACCTCAAAAAAAAGCAGAAGTTGTCGGGATAGAATGCAAGCACCTGAATATTTCTGTCAATCAGCTGGTTGGTCTCAAAGTCGTCGTCATCCTCTCCAAACGGGTTGATGATCAGCTCTCCCACCTTGAGCCATCCAACATAGAAGAAGAACTGCAGCAGCGTGAAGATGGGCACGTAAAGGTCAAGCTTGTGGTCCTTGTAGCCTTTTTCCGGGTTCAGGAACTGGCGTCCGACGACGCAAAAGGCGAAGAAGGAGTAGACTGCTAACGTCACCACCTGTATAACGAGACAGTGGAGCCAAACAAAGACGATGGAAGGAGGAGGTGTGGTCGTCTCACCTGAGTGTAGACCAGAGGGATGCTGATCCAGTCATAGTGGAACAAGAGGCTGCATTTGGCCCGATAGTTATTCAGCTCCTGCAATGACAGCCACGAATGACTTCTCAAGGGAATCCATTCAACAGGACAGAAAATACATACGATGCCTGACAGTGGATTGTTTCATCTGAAGAAGAAAGTAAAGTGAATCACATCCATGAGGAGTCTCAAAGCGATGTCGTCCCTCACGCGGGCCTCTTCTCTCGCTCTAGACGCCAGGTTGGAGAACCAGGTTAGCGGCATCCAGTACTTGTTGAAGTCCGAATGCAGCGACTCCAAAATCTTCAGCTCGGGTGATGTCATGAAGCCTGAAGACAAAATTTTTTTTTTTTAGATTTATACAGGTGGGCAACTGCCTGGATGTCAAACTGGTGTTTGCGTGGCACCTACCAGCCTCCACCACGTGCTCCAGCGTGGGGAAGCGCTTGCGAACTCTGGTGCTGATGGAGCGCAGGATCAGCACTGATGACAGATTGGCGTATCGCATGAGAGTGCGCCGCAACAGGCGACCCCTCTCGTCGGCTCCGTGGACGTTCCCAGAGACCACCATCATGAGGTTGTCGGGCAGCGGGAAGCTGGTGTATTGACCCCACCAACGATTAAACGCCAATGTTACGTAAAATCCTGCAAGATAGTTAAAGATTGATGCCAATGTTTCTATAGTCCGAGATAGAAGGTAGGAATAAAGCTACTCTACCTACCAAGAACAAAGAGAACAGGGATGAAGCTGGTGTTGGTGAACTGGTCACAGTAAAGAACGAAACGCTCAAACACATCCTGCTGCTTGGGTGTCAACATCAACCTTTGTGTGTTCAAAACATCAAAACAAACCGGAGTCAGATATCGGTAGATGATGAATTGATACATATAACAATGAACCAATAATGTGATTATATAGGCCAATTGTATATTTGAACAAAGATACCAATAACACTGCAATATGATGTTATTACTCGTCTTTTCCAACAATACACATTCATCACAAAATTGAATTTTTTTATTTAGCCAACTATAAAAATAGGATCCCAATATGTTGTTATTGGGAAATGTAGCTAAAAAATACCAATAAATATAGTCCCATGATATTTTGCTGACGATACCAATGATATCATTACACTTAATGATATTTTGACCAAAAAAAACAAAATTGTCACAAGACAGTGTTTTCACAATATTTGTTCAACCATAACAATAAGATCATGGTGTGATGATACGATGCTGAGCTCAGGATACCAATTTTCTCACGTCACCAATAATATGAAGATATGGCCCACCTGTAGAGCGCACTGAAAAAGACGTAGACCCCGCAGAAGAGGAGAAACTCCTTGTAGAGCAGCTTGTATATGCTGCCCTTCCACCTGAACAAAAGCTTGGAGAAGCCTCCAAACCTCACGTTAGCCACCTCAAGAGTGTATGACACAGTCATGCCTGTAAGAGCGGGATGGGCAGAGGTGGTGGGGGGCTCAATATCAAATAAAGAGGGCCATTGCATTTCACAACGCACCTGGATGCTCACCTGCAAAGGGGACGCTGGAGCTGACGAAAAGAGGCTCTTTGCTCTTCTGGTTCCCAATTTAAAGCCTCTCCTGAGCAATCCCCTTGTCATAACACACCTTTATTTTTAATTGATGTGCTGGGAACATTGTGCCAAAGACAACTTCCACACAAATCAACCTTATCACCGCTCCCTCCGCGACACCAATGTTCATAAAAGTGCTGTTTGAGGCCACAAACGTAAGGCAACATAAGCTAATGCTAATGATGAACTCAAATGTGTGTGTGTGTGCGTGCGTGTGTGTGTGTGTGTGTGTGTGTGTGTGTGTGTGTGTGTGTGTGTGTGTGTGTGTGTGTGTGTGTCACAAAGACAATCTCATCGCACCGATATGAATATGTTTCAGAATGATTTGTCGCATTGTCCATCAGTGAGATAAGAGCAGTGCAAACAAGAACGCTAGATCACCAGATTGGGTCTTGGTCAGTTTCGTGGCAGCGGTTCTCTGCTCATTTATTTGTTTTTCACATGGCTACATTCACTTATGCTGTAAATCATTCGTGCTTTGCTTTTAGAAAGACATCTCACGCTCATTGGGATGTCATGCCAACTTCTCTTTCTCACCAATTCCAGGCTAAGTATTTTAAAATAAAATAGAGTGGAGCAAAACTATTCACCCTTCGTAGAGACCTGACAGAGACTTTTTTTTTAGCAACTTGTCGTGTGTGTGTGTGTGTGTGTGTGTGTGTGTGTGTGTGTGTGTGTGTGTGTGTGTTTGTCTGTGTGCGTGTTTACGCTCAAAATTAATTGAAGACATTTTGACTACAGCTCTGCTTAGTCGAAACTTAATTTTTGAAGGGCGTGCCACGAGTTGTGGTTACACTTTTATAGCCTATCCACCCTTTCTCCTAATTTAATTTGTGAATCTACTTCAAAGTCCCAATTTTTGACAACCCCCCTCGCCGGAGGGACCACCCCCGCCCTTCGACTTTTATCCTCTCTCTTTCGCTAAAGCTTGCTTCAAGTCATTTTGAAGCATCTTACTGAAATGTATCCTCCGGGAAAGAGTTCGCGTGTTGCTGCGTGGGGAGACCGAAGGGGACGTGTGGACGTAATCATGGTTCAAAGATGCACGCATGTCTGAAAATGTTCACCACTAGATGTCACTCGTGTGCTAAAAATGTGACAGTTCCTAGCAGCACATTTTCAATTGGGGGGTAAAAAAGGCAGCAAATCTTGACTTTATCGCCATTTGTCATACAGTATAACTATCTTCCGAGCCTCAGTTCCTGTAAGAGTCTGACTCCCTCAAATTGGAATAGAAGAGGAAAGAATATACAC